AACTTTATACTCCTGACAAAAAGTCTTCTCTTTTTGATTGCTTAAAACAGGCAGCCAATCTTGAATCTGATCTCACTTCTGTTACAGATTGAGGCTCACAGTGGCTTGTAAATTTTAACTCCAACAAAACTCAGTTATTTATTGCAAAAAATCGCAGTAATGTCGACATTCCTATATTAATAAATGGGAACCCTCTCACTGAGTCCTCTTCTTTACATCTTTTTGGATTATCATTTACTACTGACCTTTCATGGAAACCATATATACAACCGATTACTAAATCTGCTAAGATTGATTCTCTTTATTATGCTCGCCATTTTCTCTCTCCTGATTCCATTCTCAACATTTACAAATCTCTTATTTTTCCCATACTGTTGTCATATTTGGGCTGGTTCTTCTAATGATGTTCTTACTCTTCTAGACAAGGTCCAAATACGCATTGTAAACGTAGTTGGACCCGCTCTACCTGCTAAGCTTGAGCCTCTTTCCCATTATCAAAGGAGCTACCATCTCTAGTTCTATCAACAAAAACTCATTCTTGCTTGACTTGTCATTCACCAAAGTCTCATTCTTTTACTGTATCTGTCTCTGCATGCTCCAAAAACTTCTATTCCTCTAGTTTTTTTCCCTGTACTTCAACCCTTTAGAACTCTCTCCCATCTTCATGTTTTCCTGACTCATACAACCTTTAACTTTTTAAGTTTTCTGTCAACTATTTCTTTACTCTATAAGTCTACTCTTTTTTTAATTCCCAACTTAATAGTGGTTACTTGCAGCCTTGTTAGGAGTGAATCAGGATTTTAAAAAAAAAAAAGATGTAATGTTTTTCCTAAAGCATTTCCAATATAACCTTTTCAACGTTATAAAGTACTGCTTACAGAAGTAACTTTTTTTGACTACTCTAGGTCCGTGGAAGCTTTTATTTCTTCTTGTTGGTTTTAAGTCAAGCTTTGTTCTATTTTATGGTTTTTACCTTCTTATGCAGCAGCTATATCCAATCATAATCATTTATCTTAACTTTTTTGAAAGAACAATTCTCTTGAGAACAAATGCTATTTTATTAATGCAAGAAATAAATGTAAAAAGGTGCTGTCTAATGCTATGCTCCAATATTTCCAGTTTTTAATGACAATAACAAAAACTTCCTAATCTATATATCTATGTTTCAAAACGAGTTTTTTTTTTTTTTTTTTTTTTTTTTTTTTTTTTTTTTTTTTTTTAAACATTTTCACTTCCAACAAGGCTGCAAGCAACCACTATAAGAGTTGGAAGTTACTGGAAGAGAAAAGACTAAATCTGTAGAGCAAGATAACGATTGACTGATGACTTAAAAGATTGCAAATTATATGAATCAGGAAAGCAAGATGAAGGAAGCGAATTCCAAAGAACTGATGTTCGAGGAAAAAAACTAGAAGAATAAGAGTTTTTGAAGCACTTAGGAACAGTCACAGAAAAAGGATGAGACTTAATTGAATGGCGAGTAACACGAGAATGAATTTTAGTAGATGGCACAAGGGACGCTAGCTCTTTAGAGCAGTGCCCATTATAGTATTTGTAGAAAAGAGAAAGAGAAGCAACATTACGACAATGTGACAAAGGCTGGAGATTGGCTGCCAGAGCAGGTCCAACTATGTTTACAATTCGTTTTTGCACCTTGTTTAAAAGAGAAAGAGCATCATTAGAAGATCCGCCCCAGATGTGGCAACAGTATTCCATACAGGGACGGATTTGAGATTTATAGAGATAGAGAATAGAATCTGAAGTAAGAAAGTGTCGAGCTCGATAAAGAGATGTAACCTTAGCAGATGCTAATTTTGCAATGGATTTGATATACGGTTTAAAAGAAAGATCAGAAGTAAGAGTTAATCCTAGAAGATGAATGGTAGATGACTCATCTAGTACATTACCATTCATAAATATAGGAAGATCTAAATTATTACGATAACGATTGGCCGAATAAAATTGAGTTTTATCTGAATTAATGTTCACCAGCCACTGTGAGCCCCATGCTGTAGCAGAAGTGAGATCCTTTTCAAGCTCAGATACCCCCTCCAAGCAATCAGAGAGTGTAGGCTTCTTATCATGACAAGAGTAAATGGTAGTGTCGTCAGCGAATAATGCCACCTTAGATGTGAGAATATCTGGAAGATCGTTAATGTAAATTAAAAAGAGTATAGGGCCAAGGATTGAACCTTGAGGAACCCCTGAAGTTACAGGATGTGAAGAAGAGTGTTGTCCATCGAGGACAACTTTTATACTACGATTGGAAAGAAAGGACTAAATAATCTTAAAGACGTTACCAGCTACACCATAAGAAGAAAGCTTATGGAGAAGACCAGCATGCCAAACTTTATCAAAAGCTTTAGAAATGTCAAGTGCGATAGCCTTAACCTCTCCACCTCTATCTAATGCACGGTAAAACCTATTGGTTATTACTGTTAGCACATCAGCTGTAGAACGAGAAGACCGAAATCCATATTGATGATCAGAAAGTAAGTTATTTGATTCAAGATGAGAGATTAAGTGTTTGTTGATTAAAGATTCAAAAACCTTGCTTATGACAGGAAGAAGACTAATGGGACGGTAGTTAGATGAATCAAATCGCTCTCCGGAATTTTTGAAAATAGGGATAATAGATGCTGCTTTCCAGCATGATGGAAAACAAGACTCTGATAAGCACTTGTTAAATAGTTTAGAAAGTATGGATGAAAGCTCCGGAGAACACCTCTGCAAGACTACAACAGGAATGTTGTCAGGACCACAAGCTGTTGAAGAGTCTAAGCAGGAAATTACTTTAGATACAGAAGCTGAAGTGATGCGAATGTCAAGCAAGGGATCAACCTGTTTGACGGCTATGTCAGGTAAAACACAACTAGTGGAATCAAGAGATGATATTGATGAAAAGTTCTTAGCAAACAATTCAGCTTTGTCTTTAGGTGAGGTGACAAAGTCTGAACCATACAAGAGAGAAGGAATAACAGATTTGCCCTTATTATTGATACTGTTAAAGATTCTCCAGAAGTCTCGAGAGCCTAATTTTTGTGATGAGACACGAGATTTAATGACCTGGGAATAGCGAGCTTTGGCGTCAGACAAAACCTTTTAACAATGGTTTCTGGCGATAGTGAACAGATGTCTGTTTTCTGGAGAATTGTTTTGCTGATAGATATGGAAGTAACGGTTTCGATTAAAAATTGCTGCAGCGCAATGTGAGGAAAACCAAAGAGAAGAGTGAGGCTTGACCTGGAATCGTCGAGAGGGAATAAAAGATTCTATGCCAGCCTGAATCCACGAAGTTATGTAAGAAGCACATTTGTCAGCAGGAAGACGAAAGATTTCTACCCAAGGGACATCACGAAGAAAATCACGGAAAGAGTCCCAGTCAGCTTTAAGGTAGTTGTATGTGGTACGATGATAGGGGGATTCTGATGAAGTAGAAGAATTTGATAACAGTTTTAGAGAGATCAAACCGTGATCAGAAGTACCTAAGGGTGAATGTGGAGAAATTGAGCACTGACTAGGATCCAAAACAAGACATAAGTCGAGTAGAGAAGGTAAATGATTAGGGTTGTCTGGAAAACGAGTTGGAAAGTTGACTATTTGAGTTAGAGATTGAGAAAGGCAAAAGTTGAGGGCCTTAACGCCAGCAGAGTCACTGACACTAGAGCCAAGCCAATCGGTGTGATGGGCATTAAAGTCACCAACAACGACGATATTGGCCGATGGATAAAGAGAGAGGGTTTGGTCAATTTGATCAGAAATAACATCAAGAATAGTGCAATCTTGGGATGAAGGAGAGCGATATAGAACAAAGAGAAAGGCGATAGAGTGAAGTTGTGCTAAACGAAAGCACATAAATGAATAGTCTGTAGATTCAAACCTAGTTTCACGACAAATGGGTGAGTTCTTACGAATGTAGATGCCCAGGCCAAGCATGTGATTATTGGAGTCTTTACGAATTAAAGGAAGATAACCATCAACACTAAGATCACAAGATGGAACAGCCGAACTCAAATTAGTCTCACAAAGAGCAAGTAGGTCTGGTGAACTTTGCAAGAGATAAGACTCAACAGAAGAAAAGTTACTTCGAAGACCACGAATATTAGTAAATGATAGGTTTAGAGAACTTGGTGATGACAATGGTTTTTTGTGTTTTTTAGTTTTAGGTACTTTATTCATTTTAAATTTATAAAGAACTTGACTCAAGTATAGATAGTACTCAGTACACTATTTAACAACTAAGCAATAGCCTCATTACTATTAATAAACCCTAAGCCGTAATAAAGGGCTCCAAATGTGGCCTCTGCAATGCACACCAAAAGTACAAACAGGGACACCATCCATGCGCAACATGGCACTGTTAGTACTTTGATATTTTTCGGCTGTTGATGGAATCAGCCTCTCTGAGAGCTACCACAGAGTTCGGGAAACCTGACTACCAGCCGGCCTCAGAACCATAAAACTGAGTTTTAGAGCTGTACCCTCATTAGGAGATAATAGAATGAGTTGCCCAGTCATAAAAATAGAGACACAAGCAATACCCACGCATTGAGTCAAGAAGATCCAGCGTTCAACATCCTAAACTGGAAACAATGTATTAAAAATACATCTGCGCCAGCCTAATAGATGAGGAAGGGGTGCGAGGCTGGTCAACAGATAGAATCTGTTTACCCCTTAAGTCTTTGCCTAGGAGGCCTTCTACAAGACAGCAGCTGGATGCATGTAACATCTGCCCAAGATGAGTATTTTTATTGAGACACCATCTCTAGCCTTTACTCAACCAAGAGCCCCAAGGCAGGGGGTGTTTTAATTCGGAGTTAACTTCTCCTAGCCTTTGCCTAAAAAAGCGTATCCTACAAGGCAGCAGGACATGAAGCAGGTTGTACTGGGTTACATGTTACCAGTAGCAGGAAAACCTGACCTGACACTAATTAATTAATGATATCAAAAGAGTTAATGATATCAAAAGAGTTAATGATATCAAAAAAAAAAGAACTTACCCTTTCTACTCCAATTTTCCTACAAGCATCTAAAAAAGCATCAACATTCATTTGACACTTCGGCATTGTCAACTTTGGCTAAAATAAAACTTATATAACTTAAAGCAACATCTAAGTAAACATTTTTTTTACAATATAATTACTTTTAATTTTTATAAAACTTATATAGTATAAGTAAATACATAATACATAAATTTTATAAAACTTATCTTGATAAATATATATAACCAATTAGAAATTTATGTAGAATTACAATTAGTAAATATATAATTATAAATTTAATAAAAATAATGTCTTGCAACAAAAAAATAATAATTTACTTCTTAGATCAATTTAAAAGTGTTTGTGAATTATTAGTATTGAATGGAAGGTATAATACTCAAGCAAAATTCAAAAAAAGCAAAACTCTTACCACTCCTGCACTGGGTACATGTATCACAGAAATGGTTCCTTTGCGCAAATGATTTACTAAATGACATAAGACAATTCCATCTGAAAGAGATGCAGGAAGGTCGTCTGGTAACTTAATACGAAGTCTTGTTTCAATTGCCTATTATAAATAGACACCAAAAATTAAAGGCAATGATATCATAACTAGAATTTTTCTCAATAAAATAAAAATAAAAAAAATAAAGCAAATTATTTTTATTCAAAAGTTGAAAGAAAAGAAATCTAAAAAATTTGATTCCAAAAAAACAATTTAACCTCTCTTAATTTTTCTAATTGTTCAAATTCTTCTTTGGCAGAGTCAAAGATTCTTCTCATTGTGTAAGATGATGCTGCATCTAAGAATTTTGAATCTTAAACAAAACAAACAATAAATATCAGACTTTAAACTCTCAACTTTTATATTCAAAAAACTTGTTACAACTATTATTAATATTATGTCATTTATATATACTAATAATATTAATATATATTATTGTAATATATAACTATTCAAAGGTTTGTTAAGCAAATTAAATTTTCAAATACTTTTTTTATCATTATTGTGGATAAAAATAATATTTTATTTCTCAAAGGTGGTTATACAGTCCAAGAGTGGCCTCATAAAACTACATTCAACAATAATCTATTTTTCTTTTGAAGCCATAATTTAACCACCTTTACATCGGTTAATACACTCTAAAACATACTTTTATTTTTCGAAATTAGTGGATTTCTTGGACTAATACCCTCAAATACCACATCTGTTTTCTAAAAAAAAAAAAGTAAATAAGTGAAAGGTTTTAACACTAAAACTTAAACCATGATTTCTTACAACAAAGAGACAACTTATTTTCCATATCACTAATAAGATATTTTTATTACAACACTATTAAAAATATCATTATTAAATAAGGAAAAAAAAGGTTTCAATACATCAAAATTTAAAAAAACAAAACAATTAGTATTATAATACATACTGGTGCTACAGGTAGTGTATTTGTATAAAGCTTAGATTGATCGCCGGGTGATAACATAGGTGACTAAAATATCACAAAAATATCAAAGTTAATGATTAAATAAGATGCCTGATATTTTGCAATATTAGGTGCTTTTCTATAGCAAAAGGCAAATCAAAAACTCCACATTACAAATTACACATCGTGTAACTTATATTTCATCATAAGTCCTAATCACTAGCTTGTTAACACAATCAACCAATTTGCTTATCAACACATTTAACAAGCTTTTTATGTGATAATCATGAAAATATTTTTATTTGAAAAAAAAGTTTAACCACTTAGATTAAAATAATAAACAAAAAAACTTCTGTTTAAAAACATGATTATAAAGTAACATTTCTCTAAATCTATATCTTCATTATATATAGAGAAAGATTTTAAGCCTCTAATAATAATAAGCAAAAATATTAATAAAAAACTACATAAAAAATACCTGTTTTGTTTTTATGCCATCGCTAAAAATAAAAATAAATTCTTACAATATTTTGTAAATGTTCATAGTCAAACAATACCAAACCTCCATTAAGCTTTTAGGGTAACTTGTTTGTTTTGATTCCCTTAACATTTTTAAACTATTACTTATGTTTGTCTTTTAAAAACTAATTTAAAAAAATCTTAAATCTGTCAATCATAGCACTTTATAATAACTGACTATCTGGAACACATCTTTAAACATTTAAATATAAGAAATAAATACACATAAAAAAAATTTAAAAAGAAAAAATATTGTTCCAATGCTTCATTTGGCCTAATTAATACAGATTGATTATCGTTTAAAAAAAATTTTAACAGCTTTAAAGCTGTTTAACGAAATATAACTTAATTTCAAATACCTGATTCCAACAAAATAACTAAAAAAAAAAGTTAAAGCAAAAAACTTGAATCAGTTATTTCCCAGATGTCCTATAAGTCATTAAAAGCTGTTGGAAATCAAAGTTTTCTAAGCAACTATAGTAACTATATGTTTCAATATCAAAACTTTTGTTTTAAATAAAATGCTGCAAACATTTACATATTCTGGAGAAATATAAAGGCTATTTTTTATACTTTTAACTGAAGAAGGAATATAATAGTCTTATAAGTAAAACTTAAATTTCATAAAAGTGAAACTCAAAGTTTATAAAAGTTAAACTCAAACTTTATAAAAGTAAAACTTAGGTTTATAAATAGTGCAGCAGATTAGCATAACATTTGTGCAAAAGTGAATAAAAGCATGAAACTTTTTTTATAAGTAGAATATAAGTATACAATGCATTTAAGATATGGTGGCACATTGAGTTAGTTGAATCTCGTTCATAAAAATCAAAATTAGATTTTGTGTTTATAACAAAACGCAGACCAGATATATTTCAGCACAAGTGCATTTTATGAAATATATAATTTTCTATATAGTACGCGAATTCAAGTTTTACAAATTCTTACTTGTTTTTGTTGTGTTTTTTTTTTATTATATATTTATATATATATATATATATATATATATATATATATATATATATCGAATAAATTTTCCTGTTTATAAATAATCTTGTTTTTTTATTTAAATTAATGTTATCACTTATATATTCAAGAAATTCTAAAACATTTCTGGTCTGCGTTTTGTAAAATTACAAAACTCATTTTTTTAGTAAAACAATGACGTATAAATACGTATTTATACTAGCCATGATAAAAAGGCTCAATTTTGTGGTATTGCCACTACCAATTACTAAAGTTTCATTTAATTTTCAGTCGGATAAAGTTGATTATGGTATGCGGTAGGACTGAGCTGCGCCTCTTAAGCTTAACTCGTCATTTTCAATCTTGCTCAATGTGTTTTTAATTGTCTCCTCAGTGTAGAAAAAGAATGAATATCCCAACAAACTCACATATCTCTGCACCATCAAATGATGATGCGGAGATATGTGAGTTTGTTGGGATATTCATTTTTTTCAAATTTCACACTTTTATAGTAAATATGACTTTGGCTTATACCGCAATGACGGATTAGCAGTTTTTAAAAATGCTACTAGTCAGCAAATGGAGAAAATTAAAAAGCATATCACTCACTTATTCAAATGTAACAATCTCAAAATATCTATACAGTGCAACCTCAAAATTGTGAATTACCTCGACGTAACACTTAATCTCTGCGACCAGTCATACCAACCATACTGCAAACCTGATAATACTTTAAACTACATACATGCTCAATCTAACCACCCTCCTAATATACTAAAACAACTACCGCAAAATGTTGAACTCAGATTGTCTGAAAATTCTAGCAGCGAAGAGGTGTTTAAAAAATCTGTACCTATTTATAATGAAGCGCTACGAAACTCTGGTTATAAACATAATTTATCTTACCAACCTAACTTGAAACAACAACAAAAGAAAAACCGTACGTGTAAAATAATCTGGTACAACCCACCTTATAGCATAAATGTCACCACAAATATAGGAAAAAGCTTTTTAAACTTGATTGTCAAACATTTTCCAATTAACAACAGACTACACAAAATTTTCAACAAAAACACAGTAAAAATCAGCTACAGTTGCATGCCAAACATAAAATCAATAATAAATTTACACAACAAGCACATCCTAAACAAAAATCTAACCATTAATAAAGATAACTGCAACTGCCTTAATAAAAACAATTGTCCTTTACACAATAACTGCTTGACCAACAACATGGTATACCAAGCAACCATCACTTCGGATAACCCTTCAATAAAAAAATCATACATTGGTATTTGTGAAACATTTTTCAAACTGAGATATGCTAACCATTTGAAATCGTTTAATACCCCCAAGTATAGAAACGATACAGAGCTGTCAAAGGAGGTTTGGAACTTAAAAGATAATGATAAAATCCTGTGATTAATTGGAAAATAATTAGAAGATGTGAAGCATATAACCTGACAACAAAATCGTACAAATTATGCCTTAATGAAAAATATGAAATTATTTCAAATAATGACACTAGTTTATTAAATAAAAAGACTGAAATTATATCAAAATGTCAGCATAGAAATAAATTCCTTCTTTGTCAATTCGACACAGGCTAAAGGTAGACTTCGTGTAGTCAATGTTTTGACGTCAGATCCCATTGCATTGCTTAATTTGTATTTTAAACGGTTTTTTAATTTCTTGATTTAAAAATATATATATGGCTGATGATTGCCGCCAGGCATGAAACTCTGAGTACCAACAAAAAGTTGTATTTTTTTCATTTTAATACTAAATAATTATATATATATATATATATATATATATATATATATATATATATATATATATATATATATATATATATATATATATATATACATATATATATATATAACCCTTGGAATGCCGACCATTTGATATAAAGGTTAGACCTTTATATCAAATAGTTTTTGCCAACCTCAAAAAGATTGAGGTCGGCAAATTATTGCTAACCTCATTTTTCCTAATTCCGAGGGTTGTGTATATATATATATATATATATATATATATATATATATATATATATATATATATATATATATATATATATATATATATATATATATATATATATATATACAACAATAAAAAAAGTAAAAAAATTCCCTAACATTCTGTGCGCTTGGAGCATTTGCTCCAACTGCTCCAATGTAGCTACGCCACTGATATACATACATACCAGCATTTTCTGATCACTTTAGATCCTCTTTTAAGGCTAATTTTTTTTTTTTTTAATTTAACCTTTTTTGTCAAAAGTTGTTGATTTCTGTGATGTTGAGGGAGTGTCTAATATAAACCCATTTTGCTGAATTTAGCTTAGACTACATATATTTTGTATTTAAAATCATGTTTTTTATTTTGGCTTTAATTAATATAAACCCATTTTGCTGAATTTAGCTTAGACTACATATATTTTGTATTTAAAATCATATGTTTTTTATTTTGGCTTTATTGCTACGTATTTTGCACCTAAAATCTCAATAAATTTGCAATATTTATACATTTTATTGTTAGATTGAGAACTCTTTATATATATTATGTAATATAAAAATGCCTATTGTTTTCTCTGATAAGTTAAAAAATTGATACTTTGCTTGTTATTTTAATTATAAATTTTTTCTAGGGTGCAGTTAGCTTCGTTATTAATTTTCTCTAGCCTGCCCCCACATTAGAACTGCACCTTGAAAAATATTAGAGGGGTGCTTTTTAAAAATAAGACATTTTATATGACTTTTATGATCAAAGTATATGCGCTGCAGCACCATGTGCACTTATAAGTAAAAACCTTTATATTATTAAGGTATAATACCGAGGTTGAGTAAAAGCATTCACTCACAGACGCCTTTTATTATTCAAGTAGCAGTCACTTACATCATGATTTTTGCACCCATGTTGCTTCTGGATTGGTAAACAATCAGAGCCTTTTGGAGGATTTTCTTTTTAGACACCTTTTTTTCAATATGTACTCCATTTAAAAGTAGATATAAATACTTTAAATAGAATTTTTAAAAAAATGTCATCCTTAGGATGGGGGAGTTGGGAATACCTTTTTTGGGGGAAGAGGGCCATGCCCTAACATTTTCTCTTCTCCTTGGCGCACCTGCGATCAATGTTCTACCTTCCCTAAGATTTGGGTAAAAATTATTTAAACGGTTTAAAATTTACTAATTTTTTTACAAATCCAAGAGGGCAGTAACTAGTATCTTAGATTCAAGCAAGTTCTGGCCATGCTACACTTTGCCACCATATGTTAAGATAAATAGCATAACTTTCTGAGTTATTGGTGAAAATTTCATGCTTTTATCTACTTACGCACAATTCCAGTCATATTTAATGCTAATCTGCTGCACTAAAAAATAAAACTTAAAGTTTATAAAAGTAAAACTTATATAGCTCATTAACATGTTATCTCCTCTTGACTTCTAAATTTTCAACATTAAAAAAAAAGAAGCTTTTTTTTAAATATTTCATAACTGAAAAACTCAACATTTTAATAAGAAAACTATTTTTTCATTTTTAACAAGAATATTTATATTATTATATAAATAAAAAACATTTTCTAAAAAATTATGATTAAAGCTAAAATTAACATAAGATTATAAATTAATGTATCAATTATGCAAATGCATTTATGATCAATAAAATAAACTATCTGATTATTTGTTTGAAAATTTAAAAAAACTTTTTTTTTCTAAAGACTTTTTTTCTAAAGACTAAAATGATGAGAAATTCTAGACTGCCTGGGTTTCTGTGCTAACTGTTTTTGTAAATATTTATAAGTGTAAATATCATATGCATGCACTGGCATAATTCCAAACTTGTGGAAGCCTGAATCTGCTTAAGTGTAATAAAAACGTTTTATATTGCACTAACTAGATATCTCACTCATATGCACTTGGATAATTTTTCTTCCTTGAACAATTTTTCTAAATTCAAAATGAATACATTTACTTTGCTTTGAATACAAATTAAAATTGCTCTAAATATAATTTAAACCGGCGAATAATCTTTGGTGTAAACAAATACACCAAATTAATTGATTTAAAATATTTTATTATTTTTGTTTATTTTTTATGATTATAAATAACTTTTGTTATATTTTGTAATTTTATTTCAAACATAATTTATATTCATTACAGTAACTTTTATTTAAAATGTTAATGACTATAATTTATATTTATAGTGAATATAAAAGTATTCAAATATATAGATTATATCAAACGTATGTACCTTATTAACTCAACATTTGATTGTGAACGACTAGTTTTTCTCTCAAGAGACATGGTCCCTGGGGCCATATCAAAAGTTTCGTTTGGAGTACTAAAAAAAAAAAAAATTTTAAAACACAGAAAAAAATGTTGTTTAAAAGATTAAAATATAATTACACAATTTAAAAAAATGGAAAAATTACGTGGCTTGAGGTGTGAGTTCTCCTTTTTCATTTAAAACAGGCTCTTGGGTAGATAAATTTAAAGTTAGAGGTGTGGTTCCGATTTTAGATTTTACTTTTTCTGTTGATGGATTGTTTGACTACAAAGATGATTAAAGAATTCTTTAATTGTTTTTGCCGTAAAACTACAAAGTTTTAATGTCATTCATTTTTTTGATTTGCTATATTTATTTTCTTTTAACAAAAACCTTGATTTATGGCATTACATTAAGTATCGAATAGAAATTAATTATAAACTTCACTTAATTTCTAAAAAACCAGAAGCAGAAGAAGCATTAATGTCTTTTAGATATTCAGAATTTGACTTTAATAATATAGTAATATCTTGATTATTTCAAGATTAATTAAAATTTGTACCAATTAGCTTTTTGATTAGTAAAACACACTTGGACTATATTGTAAGTAAACTTATTGTCTTCATTAAAAGACAATTTTATTTTAAGTATGTCAAAAGAATAAACATAATTTAAAAAATTATTACCTTTCCAATTTCAACAGGTGTGGAAGTTAATGTAGTACTATCTATTCTTGATTTAGCAAAATTTTGCTGAATAGTTATATTTGGTGATTGGAAAAAAAAATTACTTCTTTCATCTCCATTGCCATCAACAGAATTTATGAAAGATGTTTTAGACTGCAACGTTGCATCAACAAAGTCATTGTCCTGTTCCTAAAAGAAACATAGAGAACAACTTATATATTTTTATGAACATATTTATATATATATGTGGGATAGTTTTAAGATTTGATAAAATTTTATGTTTGTGGATTAGTTAAATATATTGAATAATAAATACAATTAATAAAGTTTAGAACCTTAGGACTTCCAAAAATAGTAAAATCTAATCATAACTTGCAAGATTATAAAATTACTTTTAAATTTTACCCGCCCCCACTAAAGCTCAAGAGTAGACTGTCTAAATTGCTCAATTGGAAGACTAAAGTTGAATAAAGTTCAATTGAAAACACATACTTTGTAAAAAGTACATCTATAAACCCAATGAAAAGATTGCCACTGTGAACAGGCATTATAAAACATATTGCTTTTTAAATGTAATTTATGCATTATTTTAAACCAATTCAATCTTATAGGGCCCAATCAATCAAAAAAAATTGTCTTTATGGCAACTTTCAAAGGAAAATCTGTCATCCTTGATGATGAGTCTTACTTCACTCTGTCGCACAATACAAATAATGGAAATAGCATCTACTAATCTAATCACAGAGACAACACTCGACCGAGTGTTAAATATCACAAAAAGTGCAAGTTTGAAACCAAGCTGCTTGTCTGGGTGGCTGTTTTTGACAAAGGTATTTCAAAGCCATTTTTTATCGCATGTCATTTTTTATCCTTAATCCACCAGCTGTACCGGAGTGTTGCCCAACCAAAGACTTTTGGGTTATCTTGGGCAAAGTGTATGAGGGTAAGCAACTAAAAACCAGAACAAAGCTTTGTCTAAAATTGATCTTAACCTTGCATTTTCACTTTTTGGATCAAATTGTCTTAGAGTTGGTCGAATCCAAAGAAACAGATTAGTCGAGAGACAGACTTAATCAAAATAAATAACTAAAAACGTTTTTTAATGATTGTTATTTGAAAAAATGAAGAAATATAAAAACAGAAAAGATATCAATTACAAATTTTCTGCACCTAATTTTATGCTGAGCTTGAGCCTCTGTCTCATTATGGTAAGGTTTACATCTCTCCACCTCTTCATCTCTTGCTTTTTTCTACAAATACTACCCAACAAGTTGTCATTACTTGTTTTAACTTTAACATCCTTGATCATTACTTGATCTTAACATCTTAACATCCTTTTACTGTAACACTTTCACCTCTTTAGAATTTTTTCTTCCCGACATTTTTTTAAATCTTCTGTCAATTTCTTTTTTACTATTTAACTTTCTTATTTGTTTTCTCTCAACTCCCATCTTGATCAGTAGTTCCTAGCAGCCTTATTAGAAGCAAGAATATTTATTAAAAAAAAATACAGCAGATATCAATTAAAAATTTTTTCCACCTATTTTTATTATACAACACTTTCTGATATGTTTTTTTTGCATTCTTTTGATTAAACTAGGATAATATAAAAATTAACATAAAATTAGCTTGTTATGGACATGTTAGTTGTATAGAAATTATTTTCTTGGTAATAATAATAATAAAATAAAACAGAGATAATGCATCCCTGCAGAACCTATTTCTAGGTTATTGCAGCAGTTAATATAAGCATAACCATACAAATAAAGCTGCTGCTTGAGGGGGACAACTGTGTTTTTGTTTCCTTTATTGTTGTGCAAAAAAAAAAAAAGTATTAAGCAAACATGGTTGGTTTTTTGTTTGAAATAAATTAAATAAAGCTGCTGCTTGAAGGGGACAACTGTGTTTTTGTTTCTTTTATTGTTGTGCAAAAAAAAAAAAAAGTATCAAGCAAACATGGTTGGTTTTTTGTTTGAAATAAATTAAATATTTTACTATGTATTTATACATATATATGTACAGTGATTACGTATATATATATATATATATATATATATATATATATATATATATATATATATATATATATATATATATATATATATATATATATATATATATATATATACTAAAAGTTGCAAAATTTGACGGAGAATCCAAATATGTTTTAGAAAATTGAATTAAAAAATTTTTTGCTTAGGTGATTTAACTTTTTATATTTCAATAAAATTTTGACCTGGTTTCTCAAAAAAACCCGGTTTTTACTTGGAAATTAATAAGCTTTTTTTCTACTTTGTTTGATAAATATCAGTTGAAATATAAATGTTGATTAAAACTAATTTTAGATATTATAATACTTTCTTTAAGAATTTGTATAAAATATAAATGAAATATTTCTTATTTCAAAATTAGACTTTGAAATTAATTTTTAATATGCATATTAATTTAAAACTGAAATTAGATTGAGATTAATTTATATATATTAAAATATTTTTCAATGTATTTTAAATACAATTTGCCTTAACATCGCGTAATAATTTTATTGGTATTGATGCTAGAAATACAGCAAGATATTAAAAAAAAAAACCCGAATTATTTCAATAAATATTATAAATTTAATACAAAAACATTTGTGTCAAACTTTCAAGGTCTTGCTTACTATTATTTTTAGGCATTAACTTTCTACTCGCCTCTTGAGTTCGGACAAATCCTTCTCTCTTTTCATGAGTGTACACTCTACTTGAAGCTTCTGTAACTTGCTTTACGCAACGTTCAACAGATTGTCCATGACATGGCCAAATCGGCACCTGCATAAGATTTGATAAAAACACATTAATTTCAGAAGTTGTTAGAGAGATAGTTAAGACTGGTTCATAAACCGGTGACTATTAAATCTACCAATTTTTCAGCATTAAAGTTCAGAACAGGCATTTTTCTTGGTCTAGGAGAGGAATCACCTTTTTGTAGATCTTCATTTCCAGTACCTCTAATATCTTTTATTTTATTTATAGCTACACTTCTATCCTCTTCAGTATTAGAACACAACAATGTTTGTAGTATACACTCACTGAAACAAAACCAAGCTGATCTTTGAATAGAGGGTGATACTATTTTAATGACATCTTCTTTTTGAAATTTAAGTTGCTGCAGTTGGTAAAGTACATGTTTAGGACCTTCAATCCAAGAATTTTCAACTTTAATCTTAAACCAACAAGGAAAATAAACACCTACAATGTACTCGGTGATAGATCTTAAATTTTCTAAATCTTTACCTTGAATTCCATGTTTAGAGATCCATATTCTACATATTCTGTTAGCAGTAGTTAACCATCTTGAATGTGAAACAGGCCCAATTTGTAATAAATGAAATTTTGGTGGTAAAATACCACTTCTAATGGCACAAACAACTTTATAACCATAAAATTGATCTGCAGACAGGTCATTTATTATTTTATCATCGAGAGAAATAAGTGGATTGCCAATTTTAATAGTTTCAAATACTGGATTTATATCTAGATCTGTAGCATGATCAAGCATGGAACCAATAACACCAGACCATTTATTGTTTGATTTCGTTTGACCATCTAAATTGGTTATAAGATGTCTCAGTGGTAACTCATTTGTATGGAGTTGACATATAAGCCAAACAAGTTTTTTTTCCTTATTTTATTTCTATATGTTTGATGACTCCACCCTCCCAACCGGTGTTTACATTTGTAGAGTCTCCACCAACAGCCAGTAAAGACTTGTCAATACCTCTCTCAGTCAGCCATTCAACAATTTTATTTGCTATAATCTCTGCATGTTTAACACTTTTTGTTGCTTTCTCAGGAGTAAAGTGAAACAAATATTTTCCTCCAGATTCCATACAAACAGAGTAATGCTCTTCTTTTACTGTTACTGGAAATTTTGCATTTGAGTCATCAAGTTCAATTATTTGCTTGGTTTGATCAATTCTCCCATCAAAAAATATGCATTTCACTTCTCCACTTTTTGCTATTTTGTCAAAATCCTTACTAAGATCAGAGATAACTTTTTCTTGCGCTCTCGAAACTTTACTATAATCAATAATTAACTTTTTATCATCAGATGTTATTAATCCTGCATCAATTAGTGTTGCTGTAGCAATTGCAGCTGTAGCACATGCAGATACCCCATATCTATGTGAGCAAAATTTACACAGAAATAGAATTACTTTTAAATATATATATACTTATATATATATATATATATATATATATATATATATATATATATATATATATATACCTTTATAAGGATAAATACATTACTAAAAAACAAATTTATTTAAAAAGAACTATACCTTACGCTATTCATAGCTATGTGTGAAATTTCTAAGGTATTGTAACATCTTTTTTTTCCTAATGATTTCTCTAGTACTAAAGGTAATTCTACATTAGTAATATCATCAATGTTATCATTTAATTCTATTACATTACTAAAATCACTTTCTTTATTAAAGTATATCAGATCTGACTCAATTTTTTGTTTTTTAGTTAAAATAACATTGCTGTCTTTATTCTCAAAATATTTTTCTCGATCTTTTCTAAGTAATCTTTTGAACTGTTTCCTGGTTTCAATACTATCAGGTAATCCAATTTAAAACTTGCTAACAGTTCCAGTTTTAATTCTTTGAAAATATATAAACTTAACGTCAATAGATGGTATTTTGTACTCTTTGATACATTTGCATTTACAATGAACTTCTTTATCACAATCATCAGAACAAATAAAATCATCACATATATCTTTGGCCATCTCTTTTACAGGATAATTTCTTTTTTTTATGTCTTCGCAGCCCTCTCTTAATAAAATTGCATATCTTATAACATCTCTGTTGGTTGGTAATTCTGAAACTAGAAATTGTTTTCCTGTACCAAATGCAACACTAATTTGCGTACAAGTACTTATTCTGGTTTTGGGTGCCATTATTCCTCCAAGTTATAAAATTTTTAAAGAGAATTTATTATTGTTTAGTAATGAAAATTTTTTTTTTTTAATATTTTAAGAATGAAAACAATTGATCAAAAGTTCTTAAATTTATATTTAACAACATGCAGTTCGCAGTTGTTTGCTAAATGCGGCAATGAAAAATTAATTTACTGACCATTATTAAGATTAAAAAATTACGTTTGAGTAAATTTTTTTTTTTAATAAAAAGTTATTTTACGCATTTAATACAAAAATTTTTTAAATACTATATAACTATTAAGTTAAATGATTTTTTTATAAACTTAATGTAAATTTGTTTTGTTGTTTAAAAGTCTGTTTTTTTTTATGTAGAGTATTGTCCGGTAACGTCTTTGTTCCGTTTAAAAGGAAATAAAAACCGTTAATACTTTCATAAAAAGGCTAATCACCTAAGTAAATATTTTTCTGATTTAAAAAATTTTAACAGATTTAGATTCTCCGTAAAATTTCGCAACTTTTAGTTATACCCCAAATTTTATTAAACTTTTTTTTCAAAAAAAGTCTAAAATTGACACATCCTAATATATATACATATATATATATATATATATATATATATATATATATATATATATATATATATATATATATATTATATATATATATATATATATATATATATATATATATATATATATATATATACATAATATATATATATATATATATATATATATATATATATATATATATATATATATATATATATATATATATATATATATATATATATTTATACATATATATGTACAGTGATTACGTATATATATATATATATATATATATATATATATATATATATATATATATATATATATATATATATATATATATATATATATATATATACATATATATATATATATATATATATATATACAGGGTGTTCGGGATAAATTTGACATATTTATAATTGATTATATTTTTTTGTAGATTAGAGGTATTAACACACACTACAGGTCATTTAAAAGTTTGAACCCTTCTTCATTCATATACAAGATGTCAGAAAGGATGGATGACTGGAACCCACCTGAATCATGGAAGAGAATAACTTGCATCATGATGATTCGTGCCGGCCATCAAAATAAGGATATTATGACTGCTGCCCAATGCTCCCTGAACACAGTAAAAACAATCAGGTATTAACTAGAGAATTGCAATGGTGACTACAAGGATGTACTAAAAAGAAAGATCCCTAGCAGACGATCTGATTGCGTTCGTACAGCAGAATTCCTCACAAGTCTGCAGGAACAGGTGTTGAAGAACCCTGGCATTGGAATTCGGGCTTTGTCACGTGAAATGAATGTTGCATCCTCTACTATGAAGCTTGCACTCAATGAAGACCTTCGCTACTACTCATACAAGCGCCACAAAGGTCAGCTACTCACAGAAAAGGCCCGTGAAAAATGTTTGATAAACGCGAAGAAACTTCTAAACAAAGTGAAACATCCTGTAGAACCTGTAGTGAAACATCCTGTAGTGAAACATCCTGTAGTTTTTTTCTGATGAGAAAAACTTTTTTCAGGATCAAAAACACAACACGCAGAATAACAGGTGGCTTGCATGCAGTACAAAGGACATTCCTCGTGTAATGCAGACTAAATTTTCCTAAACTGTGATGGTTTTCGGATATGTATCCTCTGAAGGCGATGTGATGGCTCCGCATTTTTTCCAAGAGGGCCTCAGGTTGACTTCAGATGGCTACGTGGAGTTGCTGAACACTGTAGTCAAGCCCTGGATAACAAGGGTAGCCAATTGTAGGCGGTATGTATGGCAGCAGGATTCGGCCCCTTGCCATACCTCTGTGAAAAGTCAAAAATGGTTGTCTGAAAATTTCTATGACTTCACCAGTCCAAATGTTTAGCCTCCAAACTCCCCAGACCTTAACCCCATGGATTATTTTGTATGGGGCGCAGTTGAAAAAGACACCAATTGCACTTCCAGTAATACAAAAGCCCAGTTAGTAGATAAAATTAAAACAGTTTTTGAGGCCCTTACCAGGGACACTGTAGCATTAGCTTGTTCGAAATTCCGAAGCAGGATTGAAGCAGTGATTGATGCTAATGGTGGTTATTTTGAGTGAATTTTGTTCATAGTATTGTAATTTACTATGCTTGTAATTTTTTTGTCAACTCATTAAATTTAATAGATACAAAGAAGATTTTCCTTTTTCTTTCGAAACTGTCAAATTTATCCCGAACACCCTGTATATACATAATATATATATATATATATATATATATATATATATATATATATATATATATATATATATATATATATATATATATATATATATATATATATATATATATATATATATATATATATATATCAGGGTTCCCACTATTAAAACACAGGCTAAAGTAAGGATTTTAAGGAGATTTAAGTAGATATTTTCCTAATATTTAAGGAGATTCGGTTGCGAACGACAACTTTTTGAATGAAAAAATAAGGAGAGGTAAGGAGAATATATATGTATATGTAGGAGAATATATATGAGAATATATGTGTGTATATATATATATATATATACCATTTAATAAACATTTGTAAAAGTTTTAATTTTGTTTATGAAGTAAGCTTACATTAAAATTTTCATTTGTGATGGTAGTTCGCCTTGCTCTTGGCTGAATGTCATCTTGCTGCAAGTGACAAACATCATGATTCCTTTCTAATGTAGAAACTTTCTCATTGCCACTTAATTAAAAATAAAGTTTAAAAGAAAAATATTATAAAAACTATTAAATAAATTATAAAAAAAATAAACATTACAGAAAAATAAAGACTTATTAAACATGAATGTTTTATGAACATTTATATTATTATTATAGTACTATGTAAACATGAAAAACATAGCTATATAAACACAGATTTGCCCTCTTGTATAGTTCTTATTCATCCAAAATGCTAAATAAATGGTTTCATTAATATAAATTTCAGGGAGGAAATTTGTAAATAAAATTTTCAAATAGCTTGAGATTTATCTTATATATCTTTAAAATATTTCTATACGGTACCTTTAAAATTACTATATACAATACCTTTAAAATATTTTTACACAATACCTAATTTATAATTTATTCATATTTTGTGAATCATTTAAATGCACTTTACAAATTATTAATATATGTAACTCCATAGGTCTGGATGAAACACTAAAAAATCACATTTATCCTTTAATTAAGACCTCTAAAAAAAGTCATTTGACCGAATAACACATTTCAACAAAGATATTTTATCAGAGATAATATTGATTGCCTGGATACAATTTTTGATTAGTCTAGTCTTTGTATATTTATCAGTTTAACTAGATTATCTAGATTAACTAGATTATCTGAATAGTTTTCAATAATAATAATAATAGTTTGAACTTTATGTGAAGTTTTATACTAATATAATATAAGAAAGTTAAAACACATATCTCTATATTGTCTTAAAATAATAATTGTAGTAGTATTTGCAGTTTTTAAATAATAAAACCATATATGCAAACATACAGGTTTATCTTGATTGCCACTTAGGTGATCAAGATAAGCCATGAAAGCTCCATCAAATTATGTTCTGCTTGTTCAAATGAATTTGCGGTCGGATGAACAAAAACAAATCCCAACGATGGTATAGATTCCATCAAAAATGAAGTAGATAGTGATGAAGTTGCAACTGATGGTGTTTTCGAACCGTCCGTAGGTTCTGATAACATTGGAAAACAGAAATTTTGTTAACTCAAGGACAATTTAATGATCTTGTTAGATACCTATCACTATCTAATGAGAAAGCAGAGCTTCTTGTTCTCCTTCTTAAAACTAAAGGAGAACAATTTAATTGACAAAAATCTTTATATCAATTACTTCCAAAAGTAGCAAATTAATTTAGCAACATACTTTATAGTAGATGGCCCTATTTGTTATTGTCATGATATGCATGGTTTATTCACAGAACGCTCAGATGTATGCTGCATCCAACTGCTGTCTTCAGTGATTTATCACAAAGAAGAATGAAAGTAGTACTTTTTCATAATGAAAATGTAATGCCATTTATCTCTATTGCCCATTCTGTACATCTATAACAGACATATGAAAATATGGATATACTATTAAAGGCAATCAAATACGACAGTCATCAATAACATATCTGCACAGATCTTAAAGATATAGGTTTGTTAATGGATATGCAAGGAGAAATAACAATATATTGACAGTTGTGCCACAACGAAACACTACAGCAAATGTGAATGGACACTAAGGTCTACAAATGTCCCAAGAACAAGCAATGTCCAGGATGTTCTTTGAGTTGATCCGCAAAATATCTTCCTACAACCTCTCCACATTAAACTTGGTTTAATAAAGAATATACTTTTTTATTATGTGCTATTTAAGGTGCTCCAAGAAGTCCTAAGGTCATATCACAGAGCACCGCAGAAAAGCATTTAAGTAGGAAGTTCACATAATATTAAATCAAAACATACTGTAATGTATATAAAATTATATTGTAATATTGGATGTTAGCCAGTCTAACACCCTGGCTATGTAAAATTATATATCTAACACCCTGTTGATATGTAAAAATAACTTTAACTTTGATTTTTTAATATTAAACTCTCAAAAGTTTCAAACAAAAGTTTTTAAGTAAAAAAAAATAATAATAACACTCAAAAGTTTAATTTTAAACTCTTAAAAAGTTTAGTCATTTTTTTCATGGCTTTAATTATTGTAAATGGAAACATAAAGATATTTAATGTAAACTAATAATAACTCACTTGTTACTGGATAAACTATTAGAAGAAGGTGATCTCTGAATCCGAGATTCTGATGTCATTGTCCATCTCTGAAAATAAAAAGCAAAAAATTTAATATAAAAGAAAAACTAAAAAAAATCTCAAGATAAATGTTATTTTTATTTAGTGGTTTAATGCAGAATTAAATTTGACCATGTTATAGTAGAGGGGGTCTGAAATTCTATATTTCTTGTTTAACCAGTTATTCTTAATTTTTTGAAAAAAAAATCAGTTTTTGCTAATTTTTTATGGTTGACCTTCTACTTCTATTATTAAAATTTAAAGATATAAAAATATAAGTCTTTGCAAAAGTTTCTTTGCGTATAAAGTTACGCAACTTTTCTTTCAAATTTATGCTATTCAAATTTTGATTGGATAAACTTGATTTTTAATTGTTGCGTTTTAGAAAAAAAAAGTTTAATCTAAAGTCTTTTTCTAAAAAAAGGTTTTAAATAAGTAAAACGACAGATTGCTTCAAAAAAAAAGTTTTATCTGAAGTCTTTTTCTAAACAAAATGTTTTAAGTAATCAAAAAGACAGATTGCTTCAAAATATCTTAATTTCCTTTTTTTATTTTTAATCGTCATTCCAGCTATTAAGAAGGCTATTCAAGATTTCATTTTTTTTCTTCACTTTTCATTAATGAAGTCAAGAATAAATCTTCTTTTAAAGTGCCAGTCAGTAGAAGTTCTGTTAAATTCTAAAGTTTTAACAATTCTAAAGATAAACAGTTAGTATAAAGGTACACCGCTACCTAAAAGGTTTTATAAAAAACAAAATGGGTGATCAAATTTTGAAATTTTCTGCTTTACTCTAAAACGCAGTGAATAGATAGTTAAAAAAAATTCTAGAAGCAGTTAATAAGTATACCTCAAAAAGGTTGAATGATTGTATCATTCTTGCTAGAGTATTTTAGCAAAAGTTAGCCTCAGGACTTCAAAAAAGAGAAAAGTATTATGAGTTTGGTCGATGATGGAATATGATTAGTATTAACTTTCTAATTAAGTTGTTGCAGTTGGAAAGCTTTGGAAAAAACCCATTTAACTTCAACAGTAGATGTATACTTAATTATTTAAACCATATAAAAAATGAAGGTTCGCGCAGTTTAAAAATATTGTGGAGAATTATTGTCCAGTTATTTGTCCAAAAAGTTGAAACTATGGAATGTAGTTGAAACCAGCTACAAAAACAAATGGATAACAATGGAAGAGCAGCAAACTTTACATCAGGTGTGCAAGCTGTGAACTAGACATTATTGAAGTAGATAAAGATATGTTGAAATGAAAAAAAAGTTCAATGAGGTTCTTTATTTTAGGGATACAATGTAGGTCATTGTCGCGGAAGTCTATTCTGTTTAAATACATGATTGTTGATATGAAAATACAAACCTCTATCTTATGTCTACCAAAGAACACGCTGATAATCTAGATGTTCTATAAGGAAAGTTCACGCAGCAATCTCTATCACATATGATGACTTTTATAGTTATTTTTCATTTTCAATAGTAAATAACAAACTGTATGAATTATTTTCATATATAATGCTTTCATATAATTTTTTTTGTTACTTATAAATGATAAGGTATGTTATTGATAAATTAAACAGAAAAAGATTTCTACTTTTCTACTTTTCTTATATTTAATGATAATAATAATTTCATCTATTTTTAACAATGCCTTTTTTTGTCAATATATTCATTTTTATTAAAATCGAAGTAGAAGGCTAAATAATTAAAATGAAAAAAAATGATTACGATTTTCAGAATCAGCATAAAAAACTAATTAAGAAAAATTGGTTAAACTATAAAAAATCGAAAAAAAGACAATAATGGACCCCCCCCCCCCTAGTTATAGATATTTGATTTGACAATGTTATTCATATTTGATTTGACCATGTTATAGATATTTGATTTGACCATGTTATAGATATTTGATTTGACTATGTCAGGAAACACATCTAAACTTTTTACAGTATTTGTGTTAATAAGTCCTTGTGTAATAAGTTATAATAAACTCACAACAAGAGGTAATCCACTGTTATTCAGGGTGGTAGCCCTCTCAGTTTTCAATTTTAGGTTCACAAGAGGTAATCCACTGTTTTTCAGGGTGGTAGCCCTCTAATCAAGAAAGTAGACAATATCAGTTAAGGAATGAATTTAGATTTTTTTAAACAGGACAACTGGCCAAAATTGGGTGCCGGTTCACACTCTCAAACAACTAAAGACATTCATAACTGGTGTAGCCAGCTTTCTAACACTTTTTTAGAACTCTTTGATCTCGTGATAAAACTAGAAACAACAAAAACTGAAAATGGTGAAAACATTAAAAATCTGAATACAGAAATAAATAAAGCAGCTGAGTCAAGCAAGTCTATCAGTGACTGGTTGCTTATTGTCAAACAGGATATACAAAAAAAGAAGCCTACAGAACAGGTGATGGTAACAAATGTAGCCATTAATGAGTTAGACGAAAAGAAAAAGAAGAGCAAAAAATATCATGATGTATGGAGTAGTCAAATCAACTAAAGATAGAAATGAAATCAAAAGAAGATAAGTCAAAAGTAAATCAAATTTTTAAGCTCATAAATCAAGAGAATGTAATACCAAAATTTGTCAGTCAGCTGAGATCTAAAACTAATAAACCAGGTCCAATTCTTGTTGAATTAGCTGAGGATATTCTTCGCAACACAATATTAGCATCAGCTAAAAAAATGAAAAGTAATGTCGCACATAAAGATATTTATCTTAGTCCAGATTTGACTGAGGCTCAGAGACTCTAAGACTTTGACCTCAGAACTGAAAAAAATAAAATAAATCAAGCAAGAACAGACAATGACCCCTTTTGGTATGGCATCCGTGGCAATAAGATTATCAAATTCAAAAAGAAATCAGATCAATAAATTTCTATATAATTCAGTGTCAGAGTGCAATGAAATTAAAAAGCTGTCATGTTTATACTTAAATGCTACCTCTCTTGATAACAAGTTAAATGAGTTCAAAGTGGTAATTGAACAATACAAACCAAATATAATTTCTGTGACTGAGACATGGTTTAAAAGTGATTCAATTGTAAACATTGAAGGTTACCATCTGTATAGAAAAGACAGATCAGACAGACGAAAAGATGGTAGTGTTTGTTTATATATAGACAACTCATTAGACTCCTATGAACAAAATGATGCTGTTCTAAATCCCTGTAAATTAGAACAAGTATGGGCAGTTGTTTATTTTGATAATGACAAGTATTTACTTAGATGTATCTACAGCCCAAATGATTTTTTGGATATGGCAGAATTTGATTTGGTTTTTGGCCTGGAACGCAAATATATAGACAAAAATAAGTTCAAAGACTTACTTATCATGGGCAACTTCAATTTCCCATCAATCAACTGGTCAAATGGCTGTTGATGCAATTTCAAATGAGAATGGAATTGAATATAAATTTACAGATATTTTAAATGATAATTTTCTTTATTAGCATATTTACATACCAACTTTCCAGCTGTCAGATGACTTGGGAATACCTTAGATTTAACTTTTACAACTCAGTCAGCAAGTGCTAATGAAATAGATTCAAAATTTGTTTTGGGAAACATAACTAGAGACCATCTAATAATATGTTTCAGTTTTATCTTGTCTAATAAAGCAATTCGTGACAATAAAAGTAAGCAAAGATTTATGTTTGCTAATTTTTTTTTTTTTTTTTTTATTTTACTTCACCTCCTCAAGGCCGAGAAGGCCACTACAGACAAGGAGGCTACTTATTTTGTGGCTATAACCCTCTCTCAACTCTATAACTCCGAAACATGAACCTTGACGAACAAGGCCGCTGCGCGGATAAGCGAGTTGAGCGCGGTACTACCAGGGACGCGGTACTACTACAGGTACTACCAGGGAATTCCAATTTTGAACTAATATCTGATCTAATTTCAAATGTTGACTGGATAAAATGCTTTAGTAACAAAAATATGCAAGAAATGTTTGATGAACTGATTTTTTATATTGAGGTGGCATTTAATCGTTTCACTCCAATTAAAAAGACATTAAACTCTTTAAAAATTAGACCAGCCTTAATGCTAGGTTAAAGTTTCTTATTAGAAGCAAACAAAATTTAAGATATAAAAATTGCTCATGTAAATGCAAAGACCCTGTTTTGAAATCTAAATACAAAATGATTTGCAAAAATGTAGCAGACGAGATTAAAAAAGTGAGACAAAACTTTGAGCTTAATCTGGTAAAAAGAGCCATCAAGAATCCAAAGTTTCTCTACAGCTACATGAACAATCAACAAGCAGTCAAAGATACTATAAAAGCATTACACGGAGCAATGGTAAAATCACTAAAAATTCAAAAAACATTGCTGATATTTTAAACATAAATTTTCAAGCTGCGTTTGTAAAAGAAGATGATGGTCTAATGCTTTCTTTTGATTTAAGAACTACTGAAATATTCAATTTTACATATAAAGATATCTATCTAAGATTAAAAAACTTAAAGGATAACAAATCAAGTGGTGTTGATAATTTACATTCAGCTATTTAAAAGAATTGTGCATCAGCCTATGCCATTCCACTTACGTATATTTTTAAGGAGTCGTTTGAAATGAGCAAACTGCCAGTGCAATTTAGATCAGCAAATATCACTCCTCTGTACAAAAAAGGCAAAAAAACTTTAGCAGGAAACTACCGACCAGTATCACTCACCTCAATTGCATGTAAAAATAATAGAAGGTATAATCAGATGTAAACTTTTCAATATAAGTTCAAAACTTTTCAATATAAGTTCAAAAACTTTTCAATATAAGTTCAAAAACTTTTCAATATAAGTTCAAACTAATAGTCAAGCAACAGCACGGTTTTGTTAAAAATAAATCATGCTTAACGAATCTACTTGAAACACTTGATTTTGTTTCAACCGCCTTGAGAATGGCAAACCTGTTGATGTTATTTTTTTGAATTTCCCCAGGGCATTTGACACAGTGCCACATGAAAGATTGTTTCTTAAACTTACAGCTTATAGAATATCTGGTCTGACAATACATTGGATTGAAGCATTTTTAAAAGAAAGAAAACAAAGAATTGTGATAGGTGAAAATGTATCCTCTTGGGCAGAAATTACCAGTGGTGTGCCACAAGGGTCAGTAATTGGACCACTATTGTTTGTACTATTTATAAATGATTTGCCTGAAACTCTAAAAAAATCCAACCAAGCTGTATGCAGATGACACAAAAATTATGAATAAAATACTTTCCAGTGCATCAACTCTTTGCAATCAGATCTTGATTTAGCTTTTAAGTGGACAGGCTTGTGAAATTTAATATTTCGAAATGTAAGGTCATGCACTTTGGCTGGAATAACTAGAAATCACCCCTTTATATCAATGAACAAAAGTTAAACATAACAGAATCTGAAAGTGATCTTGGAGTAATCTTTTCAAGCAATCTGAAATGGAAAAATCATGTAATAAAATGTATAGGTAAAACCAACCAAATGTTGGGTCAGATTAAAAAATGCTTCATTTGTTTAGATATTAGACTGCTGAGAATACTTTGTTTCTTTTGTGCGACCACTGTTAGAGTTTGCAGTAGAAGTTTGGTCATCTATTCAAATGGGAGAAAATGAGTTATTAGAAAGAGTCCAACATCATGCAACTCGATTAATACCATCACTTAAAAAAATCAGTTAAGAGAATCATCTAAAAGTTCTTGACTTGACTACCTTGACAAAAAGGAAACAACGGGAAGATATGATTTAAGTTTTTTAATTTTTTAACGGTTATAACGATTTGGAAACAATAAAAAAATTAGTATTCAACAAACTCAAACGAGAGGTCATAACTTTAAACATGTCAAAGAAATCACTAAGCAAGCATGTCGTAAAAACTTTTTATTTAATAGACCGGCCAATTTATGGAATAGCTTGCGTAGCGAGTTGATTAAAGCACAATCAGTTAAGAGTTTTAAAGCAGGTCTTGATTGCTGGATGAGCAGCAATTAAGCAAATCGGCTGTCATAGTGTGTTAATACCACACTCACTGGCTCACACCAGTTACAGTAATTACTAATAATAATACTAATGTTATAGATATTTGATTTGACAATGTTATAGATATTTGATTTGACAATGTTATAGATATTTGATTTGACAATGTTATAGATATTTGATTTGACAATGTTATAGATATTTGATTTGATCATGTTATAGATAATTGATGCGACAATGTTATAGATATTTGATTTGACCATGTTATAGATATTTGATTTGACAATGTTATAGATATTTGATTTGATCATGTTATAGATAATTGATGTGACAATGTTATAGATATTTGATTTGACCATGTTATAGATATTTGATTTGACAATGTTATAGATATTTGATTTGACCATGTTATAGATATTTGATTTGACAATGTTATAGATATTTGATTTGACCATGTTATAGATATTTGATTTGACCATGTTATAGATATTTGATTTGACCATGTTATAGATATTTGATTTCACAATGTTATAGATAATTGATTTGACCATATTATAGATATTTGATTTGACAATGTTATAGATATTTGATTTGACCATGTTATAGATATTAGTAATAAATCTATTTTAAAACATCAGTATATATTAGAAAACAAATTTTAAAGTAACAACTACATTTGAAATAAAAAAAAATTTTAAAAAGTAAATAAATGTAACCTTTTCTTGTTGTTGTGCAGCTAAAATAAGATACTTTACAATATGAAGTCTCCCTTTCAAACAAATCTATTTAAAAATAAGGTACTTTACAATATGAAGTCTGCCTTTCAAACAAACCTATTTAAAAATTTAATTAACTATAACTTAAAAAGCATTTATTAAAAATAAAGCAAATATAATATACAAATATAACGAATACATTATTTCAAGAAAAAAAATTATTATGTTTGTATAATTACAAATACAATTAATAAACGTATACTATTAGTAATTACAATTAATATCATGCATTATGTACTATTTTCTATATCCTCTTATTATTATTTTTTTTATATGCTGCTTTTAAAGCATTTTTTTAGTCAGTTCTAAAATCATGCCTTCTCCACAATACTATCTGAGTTGATGTTCTTTGGTCTAAAAGAAAATGCTTATTTTCTGTAGCAATAAAAGATAAACTTCATTATAAGATATATTGAACAATCTTGTTCATGTTTCATGTTAATTTTGTCAGTTGCCTGTATAAGACCTGCTATTTCTGATGAAATAGCAGGTCTCCATGACAGGAGATTTCCATGATTAGCACACATACTGCTTTTTAAAGCATTAAAAGTTCATTTATAACTGTTTTTCTATTTAACTGATTATTAGCTCTTAAAATGTAAAGCCTCCTTGAAATTTCCTTTCTTAGGCTTTAAAACATTTCATCGTTTCATCATTAATGAATCTTTATTAATGAAACACAGTGTTGAATGAAAAAAGTATAAGTGACTTTCTAGTAAGTAGATTTATTGAAAGAATGGAGAAGAATTGAGAAGAATTGGACAGTTGAAAAAACAGTATTGATTATCAGGAAGATCATTAATAATAACTAATCAGGAAGATCGTTGTAAATAAGATGGTAGCTATCAAAACATTTATACTAAAAAAATAAACTGTAAATTAACTAGTAAATTAATTAAAAAAAAAAAAAAGTACAAGAACCTATTCCTACACATTAACAAACTGCTTTAAAATAGAACATGTTTTACAGGTGATTATTTTTTGTAATATTATTGTAATGTTTTTTTGTAAACCACTTTTTTAAAATAAATCTAAAAATGCTGTTTATATTTAAAGTAGAAAAATTATTTTATATATATATATATATATATATATATATATATATATATATATATATATATATATATATATATATATATATATATATATATATAATTATATAATTACTTCTGTTCATAAGGCACTCATGAGAATTAAAGCCTAAAATCATATCAAAAACTAAAGTAAAAGCAATTATGTTAAACTTAAGCTAATTTAAATTCAATAGGAATAGTTTAGTTAATATATTTTAGCTGAACTAAAGTGGAACCTCTAACTACTTTTCCCATTGAAAAAATTCTTAAAAACCTATTTATACTGATTTATCAAATAATTCATAATCAGCAAAAATGTCTTTTAGGCATGTATCAGAAAGTTTAAGTTCAAATAAAGATACCTAAATTTATTTTATAAGGTAAAGGGGCTACTTTGACAAAATAGACATGTGTTTGATTAAATGTTTTTACCTGTCACCCGTTAACTATTATTTAAATTATATCAGATGTTGAATGAACAAATATAACTACTTTAATCTGCATAATAATAAGTATAAATAACAACAAAATAATATGACAGGCATAAATTAAACTAATATCTAGTTTTTTTTGTTGCAAAAAACTTTAATTTAAAGATAAATAAAAACATACTACAATATCATTTAACATGTGTTTTTATGATGTTGTTTTTAAATACTAAGCATGTAAGATTTATTTGTACACTGTTAAAAATTTTCATACTTTGATGGAATTATTTTTCGTTATTTGTACGGAAAGTACTCATTTAACAAAATTAAATGGAGATTCTTCTTTTAAAATAAATTTTGAAACACAGAAATTTCTGTTGGAAAAAGGTTTTATTATGGCAACCAAAGTAAAATTTTAGCATACAAACTTGTCACATTAAAAAGCAACTTTAGATTTTTTAGCTAGCGTGTTTTTTAAATATAACCAATTCTAGTGTATATATATATATATATATATATATATATATATATATATATATATATATATATATATATATATATATATTATTGTATACTTAAAATGTTAAATGTATACTTAAATGGTGTTTAAAATAATTATTTTTATTACTATTTCTTAATATCCAAAAAAATTTATTTTCTGAATATATATACGATTGAATGATTATCTTTGCATTTCATAATGCTTTTGTACTTATAATTTGTAATTATATTTTTGTGAAAATAATATTTATATAAAATTAGATACTTTGCTTCGGTCAGTTTTATGGTATTTCTTACTTCTAATTTTTTATTTTATTTGTTAATATTTCATCTTTATATAAGTTGATTTTATTATACTTTAGTTTAAATATGAAATAAAAAATTGTTTTCTTTTCGAGATTGTTTCAATGATAATGATGAGGATTCTCTTAAAGGTAAACTAATTTTTCAAATTTTAGATATGTTTTGATGATATTTGATGTCTATATTCATATATATGCCTATATATAAATGATTTTAATTAAACAATATTTAACAATATTATTTATAATTCTAAAGTTATAATTCTATAATTTTAAATTCTATTCACATATCTAAAGTAGTTGCGGAATAAAGATTTATGTAAACAAAACATTTTGACAAAAAAAAAAAATCAAAAAAATATTAAAGAATGTATTTTACTGTTGGTACAACTTGGATATTCGTAAAGAATGATTAAGAAATTATTAGAAAAGGAATCAATCAAAGTTTCAATAACCACCATTAGTAGAGTTAAAAATAACGTGGTGAGAATTAAAAGAAAAGATGATTTAAATGATAAAAAAGCTGAACGTTGACATTGACCATTAAAGCTAAATCTATGTCAAATATTTCAGAAAAACTTATAAATAAAAAGACAAGCCACCAAATTTTTCTGAGTTATCTAGAAAGTCAATTAAATGTTACATTGATAAAATATTTAATTTGAAAAAAGTTTCAAAAGGATGTGTACATGCATTATCTCCTTGAGCAATTGAGAGAAGGTTTACAAAATCAAAAAAACTTTATGGATTTATTAGGAAAAACTGGGCAAAAATCATTGCAACTGATGAAAATTTATTTTATCTTACTGATTGTGATTAAAAATCTAAACATATTTACATAAATATCAAAAAGCACAGAGAGTACCCTATAATAAAAAAAAAAAAATTTCCAAAATCCATCATGGTATGGGTTACAGGGTTTATTCAATAATATAAAAGATATACGGAGGAACATCCTTCAAGAATTTATAAATTTAGCATTGATATCTAGGTCTAAACATTTTAAACTTATCTATGATAACAAAGGTAATCAAATTGAACATTTAAGAAAAAAAACTGAGAAAAAATAAAATACTGCTTTTTAAATATGTTTCTTTTTCAATGTTACATGACTGTATATATATATATTAATATAAATGTCTATTATACATTTTTGTGTTCACATTTGTTTATATTTAGATAAGAAAGCACTCAAAGGTGTAAGAGTTAAAAAGTTAGTTTTATAATTCATCATTATTTATATTTAGAACAAGAAGAAATATAAATTTTTTTAAAAAATTATAAAACTGTTTTATACTTTTTAAATATATTTTATTATAGTTTATCGAAGTGATATTCTGCAAAAAAAAAAAAAAAAGGGTTCAAGATAGGAATTTGTACTATGGTAATAGTACTTTGGTTTTTAATAATTTTTAACTTAAGCGTGAACAAAAAAAAAAACTTATTTTTAAAAATGATAAAAATTATTTCATTGATTTCATATTTTTTTTAGTGATGACAATGGACCAGATAGATAAAAATTATTTCATTTATAAATTATTAATTTTCTGTTATTATAGTTATGTTTTATAGTTTATTTGTGCTTTAGGTTAGACCTAAATATGTATCTTTATTAATAAATTTTAAATTTGATTTTTGAAATGGTTTTATCTTAAATAAAAATAATAATTTGACTAATTAAGTTTCCATTATAGAACAGAAAAGAAAACTTGGGCTTATTGTTAAATTGTTGAGTTTTCTGTAAATAAAATTAGTAATTAATTATTGGAATTTGGTTTAAAGAAGTTGTAAAAATTTTTATTTATTTAATAATATAAAAAATCTAATTTTAAATTTGGAAGAAATGGCATGTGGCGCCAACAATGGCATAAACAGGAAATTCGGTTATCACCATTACAATGACAAACAAACTGAGATTGGTTACATTGCACTTTAAAACCTCTTTTTAAATCATACTTCAATTTAAGTTTTTATTTCTTGTAGGTATTTATTTATTGCTCAAAAGAGCTTTTAACTTTATCCAGAGTTGTATGTTGCTTGGCCTTAGTTAAATCACTCATATTGAGTAACAACTTTATGGTAACCATTGCACATAATGAGTGTTTTTTATAATTTATTACTTTGTTAAATAATCTTTCCTTACTCAAAAACTTTTTGTTTTTTTGTTTTTAATTTAGATTTAGAGTTGACTCGAAATCAAAAAGAAAGGAAAGACTGTATTTTTGTGTATTTGGATTGATTTACTTATATTTATATTTATTATTTAACTAATATATATTACTTAAAGAAAGTTTTTAAGTATATCTATATTTCAAATGTATATAGGGATATGCAATATAATTATATTATTATGTGCTTGTATATACTTTATTAAAATTGTTAATAATTCTTTTGAAAGTGCTAATTACTTTACTAATTTATTATTTATTTGTGTATTTACTGTTGAAGTGAAACGTCACGGAAAATTTAATATTCGTTATGTAAATCAAAGCAAATTTGTTTTCAAAAAATATTTTCAAAAACATACAATCGATTTTATATATATAATATTTGCTAGAGATAATTTGTTTAAATTTTCATATGAACGAAATATAAACTGCAACATTACTTTTATTTACAGAAACTATATGGCAGCTGAGTTGCTGCAACCTTTCCGTTGTTTAACGGGAAAAACTTGTTTAATTTAAACAGAAGTTTCTGTTTATTTACGAAAAAGTTCCAGCAGCTGCGATGATTAAACCTCGCATTGTGTAATGGAAAAAACCCATTGTATTTTAACGGAAAAAATCTGTTTGTTAACAGAAACTTCTGTTTAAATAAAATAACGGGTAATTTGGTGATTGGCACCTGCCAGAACTTTTTCAAAAAAAACGCAATATTTTTTTAACTGTGTAGCATTTTTTTTTTTAAACATATTTCAGTTTTGGGGTAACATTGACAGAAATGCTTAAGTCACCCCATAGGCAAAGAATCAAACAAAAGTTGGTAGAATGTTTACATACAATAAATCTTTCACAATTACATGGAATGGAATCAAACAAAGCAATCCCTAAATTAAAAGAGTTAAGCTTAACATAAAATGTACCAAGATATTAAATGTCAACAGATCTAAAATCCAACATTCTCAAAAAGTTAAACTCCACACCTAACAATTTTGCATAATACTGGTAAGAACAAAACATCAGAAATCTCGCTTATTCAGAAATTAAAACAAACACATTTACAGCATAAACATACAACTGTCAATTTTACTCCATATAGTGGTAACATTGACAGTTAAACCTCATCAACAAAATTAACTAGTTAAATTCTTCATCAGTTTATGGCAGCAATATCATTGGTAAACATGTAGAAATATAGCTTACCAAATTTAGTTTGTCACAACTAAAAAAAAATATTATTTTCTAGAGATGTGTCAATGTTACCCCACTTTACCTTAAACATAATGCATCTAAAATGATTACTACCTTTTATTCTAGAAAATACTGTTTATCATAGACAACATTTATAAAAAAATTTTATATAATTTAGGTCATATTTTAAAAATATTTTAAAAACTGTCATGAAAGTCTTATAATTACGACTTAATACAACAGACACATTCACACACAAACACACACACACACACAAACACAAACACAAAAAGGTTTTTTTTAAATATAAGTTTTGAAATTATTAATCATAAGTACAGCCCATTTAGAAATGTTTCATTTCAAATAAAGTTAAATAAATTATTTCTTTATTTCTTTTTCATTTGAAACAATTTCAATTGAAAAGAAAATGGGCTAAATTTGGAGACAAACTTTTATGTTAATTTGATAATAAAAAATTTATTATAATTCTTAAATCAAATTTTAGTTTAGGATAAACGATTTATTTTTTAGCCATATTTATTCATTAACCATATTTTGTCTACCTCTAACAAATCTCTTATTTGCCTCTGTATGGAATACTTTTGTCATATTTGGGCAAACCTTCTAATGATGCTCTTTCTTTTCTTGACAAGGTCTAAAAATGGATTGTAAACGTAGCTAGACCCGTTTTATCTGCTAAGCTTGAGCCTCTCTTCCACCATCGTAGATTTGAATCTCTTTCTTTTTTCTACAAATAGATCATGATCGCTGCCCAAAAGAGCTATCATCTCTAGTTCTATCAACTAAAACTCATTCTCGCTTGACTTGTCATTTAGCAAAGCCTTACTCTTTTACTGTTTCTATATCTATAACTTTTATCTGTTTAATTTTTTTCCCCGCACTTTAACCCTTTGGAACTCTCTCCTATTTTTATGTTTTTCTGACTTAAACAACCTACAACTTTTAAAGTCTTCTGTCAACCGTTTTCTTGCTCTTTAACTTTATTTTCTTTTTTTCTAGTAATTCCCAACTTAATTAATTATTGTATGAATATTTTGAATTTAATAATTTTGACTCTAAATGTCTAAATACTTGTATGTTTATAATTGTCAATTTAGCATTTTAGATGTATAAATTTTAGTGGTTACTTGCAGCCTTGTTGGGAGTGAATCAGAATTAAAAAAAAAGATGTATTAAATCAATAAAAATATAATTATAAATAATAATTTCAATTTTATTTTAATAAATAATAAACATGGCTTTAAAAAATTGTTTATCCTAAACCAAAACCTATATTAAAATTGTAAAAACCAAGCGGTATACTAAAAATAAAATCTGTTTGCAAAAAACAAAATATAAATGAAAAATTTATTATTAACAAAATTTAAATGAAAAATTTATTAAACAATTACTACAATACTACAATTTTTATTCATTATAATAATGTAAAAAAAAAAAAAGTAAAAATACTATAGTAATCAAACCTGAGCAGGTGGCGACGTTAGTGGGTTGCTTGCAAGATCAAGGCAAGTAAGTGATGTAATCAAACGAAAAGCTGGTGGTATGATAGAAACCTTGTTGCAAGAAAAATCGAGAGAAGAAAGATTTTTTAACTTGCTCAACTCTGCAACAAAGTAAAATCAAAAAATAATATTATATTATTATGATCTTTGCTTGAAGCAAAGATCAAATAATTTAATTCTGATAAAAAATATATATAATTTAAATTAAAACTTATTTAATAAAAATATATAATTTTATTCTGATAAAAAAAATATTTAATTTAATTTAGATTTTAAAAATATACAAATTAATTTTGATTTTAAAAATATAGTTAAGTTTATTAAAATTAAAGTTAATGTTTGGGTTTAACTTAACTGTCAAATTTATTTAAAAATATTACTAAATATTCTTCAATATTATATTTTATTTATTCTTAAAAAAAAATCAGCTTATTTCTATCTCAATTTTTTTTTTCTGTTTTCCTTCCTAAACTATTTTTTTCTGTTTTCCTTCCTAAACTATTTTTTTCTGTTTTCCTTCCTAAACTATTTTTTTCTGTTTTCCTTCCTAAACTATTTTTTTATTACACAAAATTAAATTTTAAATAAACAGCTGCATCAAAAATTAGCACAAAAACAACTTTTTATAATGCAAGTTAAAGCGTAGTGATTATTTTTTAATAAATGATATATACAGGAATATAGTTTTAATAAATGATGATTGGAATAATAATCTTTGCTTTCACAACAAAATTGTTGATAAAATAATCAACTTTTAATAAATAAAGTAAATGAATTAATGTAATTTCTTTATTTGTTACTTGCTAATTTTTTTTTAATAAAAAATCATTTATAATTGTATAATTAGAAATTCAATTATTAATTTAATTAATCATTTTAGTTGTACAATTAGAAATTTAAGAAATAATCATTTAGAAACTAAAAAAATTTAATATATTTTAATTTATTTATGCTAATGTCAAGAAAAGAAAGAAATTTGTTAATATCGAACATTTTAAAAAAAGTGATATTAAGTTAAATTATTTAATATTAAAAAAAAAGAAAATAAACATTCCTTAAATAATAAAAAAGAAGCAAAATAATATTTAACTTGTTTTGCAGTAATTAATATTATTGCAGTAATTTAAAAAAGTTAATGTCTTTAAAAAATAAAAAATTTAAAGAATTTTAATTTTTTTTTTTTTTTTAAAGTAATGACGCTAAATTCAAACTAAATTTGTCAAAAAAAAATACTTTGACAAGCCTTGTTAATAAGCATTACACAGCTTACATTTTTCGTAAATGTCAAAAATGTTCAATTTAGCAAAAACTTTTTATAAAATGTAAACGTTGAAAGCATTCAGTTAGGCAAAAACATTTTTTTTTAAAATATCTAAATTACCTTTTAATATCATTTATGTGACGTCTATTCAGAAAGCATTAAGTTGTAAAAAAAAAAGCATTTAACTGCAACTGAAAATTTTTTTAAGAAACAAATTGTTTTATAAAAAAAAATTTAATTTTTATAAGACTTTAAATTAAATATGATTTTGGAAATTTAAATTTAGTTTTAAAGGAATGTAAAATAGTAAAATATTGAATGCAAAATATAGTTTCAAATGAATTAAAAACAGTTTTGCAATATTTATTAAAAAGTTTTTTTTCTAATCATATGCTAACTAATTCATTATATAAAACATAAGTCTCTCCAAAAAGCAAATTAAAAACTGGTTCTAAGAAAAAATCCCCCTGGAAGCAACTCCCCCAAAAAAATCCCTATAAGAAAAAATCCCCCACAAAAAAACTTTTTTGAAATTAATAGATTCCCTACCCAAACCAAAACTTTCAGTCAATGAAGTAGCACTCATTGCATGTTCTACCTATTTATCAGTCGATGTATGTACACTCCTTGCATGTTTTACATATTTGTTAGTCGACTTGTTGCATGTTTTACATATTTGTTAGTTGATGTATGTACACTCCTTGTATGCTCTACCTATTTGTCAGTAGATTTATGAAAAATGAAGGATTAAGGTTTTGCTTGTAATATAATATGTATGTATAAAACATTTACATTATAAACAACTATTATACTGATGTATTGTTTATTTTATGCGCTGTAAAAAAGTTTTTTTATGTAATACTTTTATGAACTTAAATTACTTTTTTTAATATTTTATTATATATTTAAAATTATTTATAACTTTATTAAAAATACTACAGTCAATACATAAAAAATTAAGATAATAATAAATTAATTATAACTAATTATTAAATAACAAATTAATTATAATTATTAATTAAAATTAAATTAATAAATAAATTGTGATAAACAAACAAAACATTATGTTAAGTATAAGATTGCTTTAAGAAGTAATTGATATATATAATAAAAGAATGACATTAAAAAATTAATTATATATATACAGGCTTGGTCGGGAAGCGGGAGCGATCGCTCTCGAATACTGACCACGGAAACTATATTTATTTGCGTAAAACCGGCCAGGTTTTTTAGTCGTTTTGAGAAGATTTAAGTTTATGTATGAAACAAAATTTTTGTTTTACGGACATACATGGAAACATAAAAAACTTGAATGTTCTCAAAACATCTTTGTGCGAAAGAATAAAAAAAATACTTGCGAACACTAAAAACCCGCCAAATTAATGAACAAACTAATTCTATTGGTTCAAAAAATAGGCTGATTAAGCGAAATAAAGTTCTAGAGTATTCTGTTAAAATGTTTTAGAAATTGTATTATTCACAATTTGTTACGTTTTAAGATTTCTAGCATTGTTTTAAGAATATATATTATTTGTTTACAAAAATAAATGTTTTAAATATATATTAATTAAATTGTTAAAATTTTAAAAGTTTATTATAAATCATAAATTTTATCAGTATGTTCTTATTTTTTTATTTTAAAAGAGATTGTATTCTTTATGTAAATGTAATTTTGTGTATTTGTTTTTTATCGTAATGTATCTTTTAAAGCAATTTTTATGATTTAAACAAAGACTTACAAAAATAATTGCGTTTTCAATGAAGTTATAATCGTTAAAAATAGTAAAACTAATTATGTAACAAACATATAAGAAGTTTCTGGTTACTAAACACAAACAACGCATACAAAGTAACTCGCGGATGAACAAGCATCGCGCCTGAGGTCACGACAGAACACAAATATATATAGCAAATAATTAGATATAAAGAAAAGTTTCTAGATATTGGTTTATTAACTCTAACTATTTTCGCTTAAGTTGCCATTCTTAAAACTCTTTATACTTTTTTCTACTTTAAATACTAATTAAAATTAGTAAGCCTATTCACTTACTTACTAAACATCGTTAGCGATATTGTGAAGCAGTTTCACTTCCTGGTCATTCATTTTTAGTTGATTTCTATCTTGATAATTTAATTCCTATAGATGAGTTTCAAATGTTAACATTCTCATTTTCTAAAAAAGATGCACGCGCAAACTTGTAGGTAGAAAAACAAATTATCGGAAATTTTCAAGTAAAAACATTGAGACATTTATGTTAAATTTATTCACTGATTGTTATTTATTCACTGATTCACTAATTTAACAAGAAATAAATTATGCCAACCAGTTGTTATGCAGTTGGTTGTTCAAACAAATTTAAAAAAGAATGTGGATTAAAATTTTATAAATTTCCATCAGGAAAAACGCCTTTTAAGAAAAGAAGGCGAATAGAATGGATTAAAGCTATTAATCGTAAGGATTGGGACAGTTGGGAAAGTGAAAAGATTAGTAAAGAACGAGTATGCAGTGCACATTTTGTATCAGGTATGTTCTTTTAATGAATGAGGTTAGCTAATAAAACTATATATGTAGTAATACGTTTAATAAGATTCTTTAAATTAGTAATTTATAATATTTGGTACATTTATTAATTCAATTAAATATTATATTTTATTATAATATTTAATTAAATTAATATTTAATTAAATATTATAATTGTTATATTTTAGGGAAACGTTCTGATGACCCATCTGACGTTGACTGGAGTCCATCTGTATTTAATCACCTTGGAGATGCTACGATTTCTAGTTTGATTAAAAAAAGGAAGAGAAAAGATTGCTATAAAGCTTTATGTAAAAAACGATCTTTCAAAAAATCAATACTGCCATCTAGCCAATCAAATAATATAGAGCTTGATAACTATAAAGATAATATAAATAATGACATAAATCCACCAAATGACAAGTCAGCTATTTCTAAATTTTATCAGCATGATACTTATAAAGTAGAAGTGGAAACAATTAACTTTCAGTTAATGAAATACAGAAATGAATTGATCGAGAAATCTAATGAATTTATTGAACTTAAAAAAAAGAATGCCAGACTAGACCATAACAAATATATTTCATACCAAAACCTAACAGATGAACAAATGAATTTTTTTTCAGGCTTGTCTCAAACTACGTTTATGTGGCTCTTTGAAAGAGTTAAAAATTATATTAAAAAAGTTCACTCAAGGTTATTGTTGGAGGACCATCTCTTAATTGTACTCATAAAACTAAAATTAGGTCTATTAAATAAAGATATTGCTTTTCGATTTAGACTAAGCCCAGCAGTAGTTTCAAAAATTTTCAGAACAATAATACCAATTTTTTCTGCTAGAGTTGTCAATCTCATTGTTTGGCCAGACCATGGAATAATAAGGAGTAACCTTCCTATATGTTTTAAAAAAAAGTTCAAAGATTGTGTTTGTATTATTGATTGTACTGAAATATTTATTGAAAGGCCAAAAAATTTAACTTCACGATCACAAACTTGGTCTAATTACAAACATAACAATACCATTAAATATCTTATTGGTATTACTCCAGCTGGGGCAGTTAGTTTTTTATCTCCTGGCTGGGGTGGTCGTGTTTCAGACAAACAAATATCATTTGAGTCAAACTTTTGTCAGAAGCTTTATCCTGACAGAGGATTCAATATTAAAGATGAACTAAATGCTGTTGGGGCAACATTAAAAGTTCCACCATTTATGAAAGGTAGACAACAATTATCTGGACGGGGAGTGGATACATCTAGACAGATATCTAATGTTCGCATACATGTAGAAAGAGTGATTGGTCGAATAAAAAAGTTTCGTA